GAGAGCGAACGTCGAACGGCCGAGCCCGTTTTATGCGACGCGCGGCCGTCTAACAGAGAAACTGAGGACACGAGGCAGTGTCCACCTTGATTCCAAGCCAGGCCGGACAGAAGACGCGACCGGTGAGTATTCGGTATCGCGGACGAAGTCTGGTTTTAAGGTAAAACCGGAGCCAGCCTTTGTGAGAGAGCTGGACGAATTAAACCGCGCACCGCGCGAGTGCTCTTACATCATCGGAAGAGCTGGCTCGTCCTTGCAAAGACGGTTCGTGTTTCAGGGTTTCGATAGAGAATTACCTTAACCAGTTCAAACCTAATTTTTCTACAAAATTCTGTTCACGTATCTAGTAAAATGGGACTGATATTTGACTCTTTTCCAAATCAAATCTTTTGGGAAAAATACATCAGTTAACTGCGTTTCACAGGTATACACGTCATCTTAAAGCTTGAAATTATACTGATTGTTTCAACGATGAATTCTTTATTTTTTCAGATAAATATGTAATTCTTCTTTATTTTGCTTTGGATTTTCATTAAAATATACCCTAAGTGTGTTCGTTCTACGTTTGACGAGTACACTTCATTTTGTAATTTTATTGCGCGCAAAACGAGAGGTTCTTCAAACTAAATTCCACAGGTAACAGATTAACAATACACGTTAACTAACTTACCATTATTGACGAAATAAAAAGTAGTTTCATAAAAAATGCTATTCTGACTGTTGAAAAAATAGGTGGTTACTGGTATGTCGATTTTATATTGGTGGCTTCGCGACTAGTACACGCTTGCGTTTTAATGGTATGGGAATGTGTGGTTTTAAGGATGCCACCGGGAACTAACGGGTTAATGCACCAGTAATGACATTGTTTCGAATAAACTAGTAATGTAGTACTTTGCTGATAAAAATAGTCTCGAAGCAAGGGTATCTACAAGGTTAACAGTGTTTTAACCCTTCAAATATGGACCATTAACACTAAAACTACGAGATGGGTCAAAATGACCGATTTTTGATGTCTTCCTTTTGCAATTATTAAAAAGATAACAGATGTCCCTCTGAAAAATTATTTAAAAAATTGATTTAGCAATGCCCAAACCGATTTGTAAATCAATTAAAGTCTCAATAAATGTACTCTTGGAATTTTTATAGAGGAATTTCAAAAGTCGATTTAACTGCTCAGTAATTTTACTGTTAAAGGCCTATCGAAAATCCCATTTCTTTATAACTTTAACATGATTTTTAGTTTTTATCGCAAATTGATACGAAGATTTGGTAAATACTAAACATACCACTACTGGTCAAATGATCAGTTTTAAAATTTGATTAAAAATTCTATATTTTCTCTTTCGTTCATTTAACTTTATATCAATTCTTATTGTCCGATTAATCAGTTTTTCAATTTTTGTCTTTTCTTCTGTTTTTTTTTCAATACGAAAAATGTATCGTTCAATTCAGTTACCTTTTTCTTATAAACAGTT